GTTACTGCAGTAAATTTATATATTTTATAAGTATAAACAGAACGATGGGAAGGAGAAAAAAAATCCTTTAAACTATTTTTGCCTCTTCTATACTTAGACATCATATGAAATAGATAAGAAAGGATTTGTAATACTAGCTAAAGAAATGACGTACTCGAGATTGATTGAAAGATTCGAATACTTAAATTAATGGTGTATGATAGTAAAAAGTTTTTCATCTACCTTCCCACTGTTTCAGTTCTATTTGTACGATCATTTTTATTTCCAACATTTTTACTTTCCATTAAATTTCGGTTTATAGATCAGGCATTTAACTATAAGTTTATTCAGTATTATTCTATGAAAAATTTTCGATTATTTTCAATATATGAAATTTGTCTCAATCGTATATATAGCCTACATGTATCTAGTGTACTACTGAAAGCTATTGAATTACATTTCTTTTTTTTGAATAGATTTGTAATATACAAACATATAACCATTTTAAATAAAAAGAAACAAAGACAAACGAATATAGATTTTTATTCTATCCTACCTAAGAAAATAGTTTTAAGCATGAAATCGCTTAATAATATGTTATATCTTATGAAAATGAAACGCGTGAATATCGTTTAAAAAGATGTATACAAATAGTTACATCAATCGTAGTCAGATGGAAGAACGGATAGTCATGAAGTATGTAAGGTACGTATTGAATGACTCACTACCGATTCCTTTTTATCCTTGTACGTTTACGATAGCGAATAGTGTTGCAAAGAACAGAATAATATTCCTTTACTCGATTATTTTCATATTAACCGAGAAGAATGTAGAAAAGAAGAGAAATATCGTGTTTGTTGTTAAGATACGAATGAGCAAAGTTATACTTACTGTGCACAATAGTTTTCTTTGTTTTCAATTGTTATAACAATAAAAGTTTGGTATGAAGTATTTTTAAATAAAATAAATAGAATTAAATGATCTTTTATTCAACATTTCGAAGAAGTAATCCCATGAAACTTCTATACTGAAATAGAACTATTTCGTTATAAATATAAGAGAACCTATTAGTATTACTACATTTTTTTTCTAGTAAAAGTATATAATTATATTTTGTTTATATGAAATTTGACTAATTTGCATCGTGATAACGTTAAAAATGAAACAAACAACAATGAAGTATTGTGTTGTTTGATCAGTAGTTTTCTTTGGTGTTTTCAAGGTAACAACTGATATTTATAGAACGACTACAGATCGAGAAAGAAAGAAATAACACAAATGTTTGTTATTTTGAGCTTCATAAAAATATACTTCTCACATGATTATTGAAAAGAGGTACATATACATATGCAATAAAACCTCTACGAAGGAATACTTTCTAATTATGAGCAGTCGTCGATCCGACGAGGCGTTTTTTACTGAGAATGCCCCTCTCTAATGTCCATACGTTGGTCTAATCTCATTCTTTTTTCTATGATCTATCACTTTTGTATCTCAACTAAGTGTCTTTTTTGAATAATTTGACTGCTGTAAATCTAAACTGACAAATGACAACACGACATAAGGTTACTTTGGAAGAATACAGACAATTAGCTTATGATAATAAAGATAGTAATGATTTATCACAAGGTCGATTAGCTGAAAAATATAACATCTCACTTCATTGTATTATATTAAATGTGCACTGTATGAACTCGAAAAAAAATGTATGCCAATACCATATAATAAAACAAATGCTAGTTGAAATCAAGAGATTTGAATTAGTAAAATAAATTACGTATATTCTATGATAGATAATTCCCAATACATTAATTTTTGGTTGTTTCAATCATGATTTCACGCTAAAGTTATATTTAATCGTATAACGCTTTCTACTATTTACATCTTCCACTAGGTACTTCATTGTTTTTGATGCAAAATAGATAAAGATATAAATAATACTATCGTACTGTATATAGTAATTATCTATTTATCACTAAATAAATCATATACTATCTTCTTCACACTTATTCAAAATCATTCTCGATCATTTTCATATGTTTCTAATAAGTTATCATTTGACAAAAGATCAATCTAATTTTAAGATCATTAGAAAAACTTTTGCAAATAAGTATGTCAATTATCTTCTTTGTTTTTATTTATATTCATTCTTGACAAAGAAAGATAAACACATAGTTTAATATAATTGACAAATGTGTTATGATTTCTCTAGATCATGATATCATATATATATAGTTTGATATTGTTAGTTGTTTTCAAGATTTTAATGGAAGTGTAAAGTATACACATATATGCTCATATTTTTCTTTTATTGTTCACTATATCATTCATTATTTCTTCCCCTTCCTTCGCGTGAGTGGACAAGTTATCAATAGTCGCTCAATGAGTGAAATAAAATTGTATCTCCGACTCAAAGTGGTTTCTATATAATGATCTTTAGAAATGTCTTTTGACAATAACCAGTGTTACTTGTTATTATTTACGTGAAGTATAAAAAGATACATGTGCCTTGTTAATGAAATATTCTTTTCTGTAATATGTCATGGTTATTGTATAAATATCTTAGGTTTAACAAGAACATGTGTCTTATGCTGTAAATTATCAAATTTCCTTCCATGCGTGAAGAGTGACAGATCTATTTGGTTGATATTTAGAGTGCCATTAAAGTATTGAAAACAAAACTTTGCTTTTTACTACTTTGAAGATAAGCACACTAATGATGAAGTTTATTATTTTTGATGAAAAAAAAGTATCTTTTTGCTCATACTATTTATAAGTATTCATGCGAAATAATAATTACTCTTGTTTTGATAGTTAAATATATTTCATTGACGTTTCTGTGGTAAAAGAGATATAATTAGTTTGAATGACATGGAATGATGTTGATACTATTTTAGAAAAAGAAATATTCGAATGGGTGACAAATAAAATTGATCCCTCGATAGATTTAATGTTGTAGGAAAATATCGATTAGAAATATTGACATCTAAAGCATCGAGAGATTAAATAGTATTCATATCTTGCTTTTGAACTGTTTTAATAGGGTTGGTAAGCGATGAGCAGGAAACATTAAGCACAGGAACGATGAGCACAGGAAAAATAAACACAAGAAAGTTAAGCACAAATAAAATAAAATAAGTCTGATCTCTTATAAAAGATCAGTTAAGAGTGTGGGTGTGAGTAGGGTTTGTGTGGTTATATGTGTTAATTACAAAAAATATAATATTTTCAGTCACATGCACCCCTATTCACACTCACAGCCGCAGCCACACCCACATCGACACTCACCCACCCACACCCTCGAAAATTGATCCTTGTCAGCATTTATTAAGTAGTACATACACATACATAAATTTACTTAAAGAAATTCGTGAGTTTACTTTGGGTACGGCTAATCAAAGCATTCTTTTCGATCATGTCTTCGGTATCATAATATGAATTATAATCTGTAATATTCTCGTCCAAATACTTGTGAACCATCGAAAGATGCATTAGCGCATCTTTATGAGAGACACCTAGCATCGATTTATCAACAATTATGGCTTCTTCCTCCAGATTGACCATTCCTTGTCGATTTAGTTTTACTGAATCGCAAATATCGGTATCCGTCAGATCTCCAAAACATTTAGCCTCCTTATCACAAACGACTTTGAAAAATAAAGACTCAACGAAAAATGAGGAACAATATATAGAACGAAGGGAAAATCCACGGAATGAAAAATTCCATAGATAATGAATACGAAAGAAAGGAAAAATCCATCATATATATAAGACAAGAAAGGAAGAATTCTTGAGACATGACTAACAAGAAAAGAAAAGAAGAAGAACATAAATGCATATATATAATCATATAGATAAAAAGGCTCTTTTATGTGAACTAAAATCGGAAAAAAGCGCCTAAACACAGCTCTTATGAGTGGACTCGACTGTATATATTTATATTGTTCATAAAACACTCTTATAAAGTTATAAATAAACTTATTTTTAGAGAAATAAACTATTCTTTTCAACTAGATTCTAAAGCGATAGATGGTGAAATTAAACCAAGAGAACTTTCAGTTATTGATCCAGTTGGTAAGTAATAAGTAACATAGCCTTTATTTTATTTCTAAATATTATATTTTTCAGGTGCTATAGTGATTAGTTTATATATTATTATTTGTTGGATTCCACAAATTCGTCGTATGTACTATTGTTATTCTTTTATAAATTTTTATTAATTTAAATATTTATGTGTAGTTCATATTCGTAATCTAACTGGTTATACAGCTCGATCCCAATTTCTTCAACAATTAACTAGGACACCACTTCATCATTCATCTCTTGTCGAAATTAATATTCTTCCTCCAAATGATTTACATCGTGCTAAAGCGGTTTATATTGGTATTAGTCTCAAACAAAAAAGTAGAAGTATCACCAGATGCTGAACGTGCTTTTGTTCATTTAAATTGTGAAACTACGAATAATAATGCTAATTTTAATTTTTATAATATAACTAATGATCAAGATCACCGGTTAGCTACAGCTGTTAATCGACGACAGCACAAGGCTGTTTGAATAATTCGTTACCCATGATTAATGGTAGTAGTTTTAATATGCTTGGATTTATTCATTTATCCAGATCTTATTGTTTAATCAAATTTTTGTTTCTAGAAAGGTTCCTATTTTAAATTTATAATTAGATCAGATATGAATGTTAAAATATCTGCTGAGAAAAATGATGCAAATACTTTTGCTATGGATACTGTTGATCAAGAAAAACAATCGCATGAAATTGAACCAACAACAGAAGAACTTAATACTTTAGAACATATTCCTGATCATATTCCATTAGCTGCTTGGATGATTGTTGTTTGTAAGTTCTGTGAATCGTTCACTTTCTATGGTATGTCCGGACCATTTCAAAACTATATTCAGTTTCCTGTACCTGGCTCAAATGATACACAACCTGGTGCACTTAATCGTGGTCATCAAACTGCAACATTATTAACAACATTTTTTGGTTTTTTCTGTAGTATAATCCCCATCGTCGGTGCTATTGTTGCTGATCAATTTTGGGGAAAATATAAAGCAATATTTATATCATGTATTATTTATAGTGTTGGTCTCTCTGTACTTGTTGTATCAAGTATACCAGTATCAATTAATGCTGGAACTGCATTACCAGGTCTGATTATTGCAATGATTATAATAGGCATAGGTTCAGGAGGTGTCCAGAGTAATTTTATTCCACTGATGGGTGAACAATATACAAGAAAAACACTTATAGTTAAAGGTAAGATGATATTATCTAAGAAAAAACAAGGTATTCAAACATCTGTCTTTTTAGAAATCAAAGGTAAAAAGAAGATAATTGATCCACAAATGTAAGTAAATAAATAAATAAATAGTTTCTCTTTATTTATATTTAATCATATCTTTATCATAGAACAATTCAATCACTATTCAATTGGTCGTATTGGGTAGTGAGTTTAGCTTCATTATCTCCGTTATTAACGACTTATGTTGAAAAATATCATTCATTTTGGCTTGCATATTTGATACCATTGATTGTCTTTATGGGTGCAATTATAGTTTTAGTATTTGGTTATCAGCGATACATACGAGCACCACCCAATGGTTCATTACTTATTCAGGCATTTCGTGTCATCAAAATAGCTTTCCGACTACGACGGAAACTAGGTAAACAAGATCATATCAAACATATGCTCGACTATGCAAAGCAAGTAGAAACATCAGATGAAACAACAGAAACTAATGAGAAAATGAATGTGTTTATTGATGATCTAAAACAAGCTATTCATGCTTGTCGAGTCTTTGCATTTTATCCAATTTATTGGATATGTTACAATCAAATGTATAATAATTTAACATCACAAGCTGCACAAATGAATGTTGGTAAGATATCTTATATAAAAGACCACTAAATTTTGAAATCTTGTATGATAGGTCCTTTACCTAATGATATTTTACAAAATATTGATCCATTTGTATTAATTATATTTATACCAATATTTGAAAAAATAATTTATCCTTTATTACGACGACTGAATATTAACTTTAAACCTATACTACGTATTACTTGTGGTTTTATTGTTGTTTCACTTGCAATGGCATGGACTGCTATTGTACAACATCTAATTTATTCAACTGGACCAAACTATTCTTTTACTCCTCAACCTTGTTCCACGTGTCAAAAATATAATAATATAACTGTTGCTTGGCAGATTCCATCCTATTTTTTAATTGCTATATCAGAAATATTTGCAAATATAACAGGTTTAGAATATGCATTTACTCAAGCACCAACATCAATGAAGTCTATTGTGATGTCATTATATGTATTTACATCAGCTATTGGTAGTGCACTTAGTTTTGCACTTATACCTGTAACGGTTGATCCAAAACTGTTATGGATGTATACATCATTATCAATTGTTGCATTTGTAATTGGTATTATATTTTATGTTACATTTCGCAATGACGATAAAGATCGAAATTGTGTGTTGCCTGAAGAAACATCAACAAATCCTCCAAAACAAGGAGATATATAAGACACAATATTTTAGAAATATCGATTCTCTGTTATTCTATTGTACACTAAGAATTATTACGAACAGTATCTACTAATTTTAGCTTGAAACAATTAATAATGGATAATGAATTTAGTAATTACTGAGACAGTGCGAACCATAGTGCATTTTTTATATATTTTACATTTTAATTAGTCGTGTTGTCATATGTTAATGTTTCAAAATAAAGTTTTTTTAATAATTATATATATACTAAAATGTGTTGTATAAGTTTCTGAATTAAGTAACAATAGGGAATATCTTGTAAGTGATTTATAATAATGTAAATAAAAATGATAAAGTTTTGTTTTTATTTAACCGTTCAGTGACGAAACCATTATATATATATGCTAAGATTTCACTTGAGCTATTTTTGTTACAGCTATGAATTTTCTATTTTAAAATTACTTAATCAATCATGAATCTTAAACTGTATCGTACATAATAATTGTTTTAGATATTTTTGTTTTGATCGACTTTGAAGATTGTACTTCATGACGTAATCAGAACCTATCAGTCTCTAAGAAATAATGATATGATGTAGGATATCATGGAGACATAACATTTTCATATATAAAGCAGAATACATTGATGCATGAGGGATAACCAAGTGGGAAAGAGCGGAATATGGATTCCTGAGGATTCCATAAAAACCGTTTTTGATTCCAGGGTTGCAGATTCCGCTCCTTCCTCCTTGCCCTCACGCACATCCACATCCATCATCTACTTAGATGATAATCAATCCGGTTGGTTAGGAGACTAAAGTTACTAGCATTGCTTTCGTTTATTTCTATACATATATAATATTTTTATGAAATATAAAAAAATAACAAAACAGAACAATTACATTTTTAATTGTTTAAATCCAATAGTTTTTTTAATTTCATATTTTTGTGTTTTATTTAAATATTTCAATTTTCTAGCCATATGTGAGAATCTTTTTGCAATAATGTCATTTTGAAATAAATGTCTATGTTGTTTAACTAATCTTATACATGATATAAAAAAAACATATTTACATTGATTTATTAATTTAATAGATTTTTTATTAAATATAAATGCTTTTTTAATTAATATACGTAATGCTGAACGTATTGTACGAAATAAAAATAAACTTTTTGATTGAATATATTTATATGAATAGATTTGTATAAAACGAATACATATAGAATGTAAACGTTTTAAATAATAACATGATAATGCATAGAAATTTTTTAATAAAGTTTTATTTGTTGTATATAAACGATCGAAATAATATGAATGTGAACGTAAACTTAAAGCATTTAATAATGAATGACGTATGTAATAACCTGGTTCGCGTGTAACTTTAATTGTTAGATGATTTAATTTTTTTTGTATACTTTCATTTGGATTTATTGAAACATATATTTGACGAGATTGAATATCAACAAGTGAACCCCAATATTCAACAGGACGAATTTTATTCATTGTTTTATGACGTATATTTGTTTTCGTTTTTAATGAATTTTTTAATGGGCTAGTTATTTGATGTAATTCATTTAATTTTTTATTCATATTTAATTTAATACGACGAAGACGATAACGATGCGGTGAAATAATTAATAAATCATCTTCATGACGTACAGCAAATTCATCAAATAATGGACTAAAATTAATATCATTATCGATTTTATTCAAATAAATTTGCCCAAGCATTGAAGCTATTCGTAAACCATGATTTATACCACGTGTACGATGATATGTTTTAATTGGTAATATTGTAGAATGTCGTGTATATAGATAAGAACTAAAATTAATTGAGTCAAAGAAATTTTCATAATGATTATAAATATTTACTTGAATAATTGAGCACGAATATATTTAAGTAATTTTGTTTTATTATAAATTTCAATATGACCTTCATGAATAATCATATCATGAAAAATTCCATTATTTATAGGTTTCGAATCATCACTCATTATTTCACACATTTTTTCATTCTCTTTTCCAACCCAATAAAGAGTTCTCTTACGAATAATACGACCATTACGATATTGAGTTTTGTAAATTGTATGAATGTATAAATTATAATCAAATTCACATTTATCAAGGAATTCAACGACTGCCTAAAACGAAATTGTTTTTAAGAAATATAAATTTAGGGAAACAGTCAGTTGCGCGCGGACATTTATTCACCGGACAGCTGCTCGCTAGGATATTTGCTCGCCAAAAACTGTTTCGAGTTAAATACATAAATAGGTTGTGGGTGTGGGTGCGGATATAAGAAAAGTATGGCATCCAAACCCACATCCACCCACCCTCGAGATCGTCAATGATCTATACGTACAGCTTAATTAATTGTCTTACTTTTGTTCTGAATTCTTTCAATTACAATTCAACGATTATCGCATTTGCCAGCAAATGTCTTAGCGAGCAACTGTCTGGTGAGAAAATACTCGCGCGTAACTGTCCTAAACCCATAAATTTATTGGACTAAGACTCTTCATGTATATATACTTACTTTATCTAGATAATCAAGATTAATCGAATCATAAAAACACGAAACATCACTTCTCTACAATTAGAAAAAAAACCATCATACATATTTATCGATTGGGTAAATAAAAAGTCATTCGTTCATACTAGAAAATAAGTCATATTGCTTTCGTCTATTTCTGGTGCATTTTGGCAAAAAACTTGCCATCGTTTATGCATTTCAACTCGATTAAATGTTGCAATACCTAATAAATTTTTATTATGTCTTCGTAAATATTTCAATATTTCATTTGTATATTTTAAATGATTTATATTTTCTTTTGTATTAATTCCTTCTTGTACACATGCTAAATAACGAACACTTGCTGTTTTAGGTACAAAACGTACTTTCCATGAATAACATATATCTTCACAATCTTTTATATATTCTTGTTGAACAGTTGGAGCACAAGCTTTTACAATTAAATCTTGACGAGATTTTGTTTGTATAGCATGCCTAATTTTATTCAATTAAATATAGAAAATATTTAAAGAAAATTTTTTTACCAAATTTTATGTCGATAGAATACTAAAACAAGTGGATGAGAAGGTGATGAACCTTCAGTCGCATAAAAATACGATCGGAGTAATATAAAAACATAATATATAAGATAATAGATTAAATGACAAATATATAATTGACAAACTAATGGTGGTAAATTCTTTTGAATTTTTGTCCATTGAAATTGTTTAAATTTAAATTTTCGTATAACTTCACCTAAGGAATATTGTTGTGTTCGTGGTAATTGAATAAAAAAACACATTCGATATATAAATAATTTATAATTAAATTTCGAACCAAAAAGTTCCACTGGTAAAACATATTTTAACCAAACACGAATAAATTTTTGTATAGTAGAAACAGGTGTTGTCAACGATATCAATTGATCAAGTGTAGCAGTTGGCTCAGGAATGTGATGATGAGTATAGGAGAGTGGTAAACGCGTTCGACGACGAAGATAGAATTGACGATGATTTATTCGGAATTGTTCAAATATAGGTATTAGATTTTCACGAATTTGTTCCTATTTTTAATCAAAAAATTTTATGTAATCAAAATTATTTTACTTACGACTTCTTCTTTTGGTCGATGATTAAAAAATGTTTTACTAAACTCTGAAGTAAACATTGCTTCAACGAACATTTGTCCATTATACGATTTTTCAATCGAATGATATATATCAAATCGTTCAAATTTTGATACATGATAATGTACTAAATGTGTAGGTAGTAATGTTCCATATAAATCTGTTAAATGTGCTTGTTGTCCTTGTTTGGTAGCATGTAAATGAAATTGTATTGTTCTTTTTCTTGTATTCATTTTATTTAATTTTAAATTTGCTTCATTTTTTTCGTCAGATTTTCTCATTATATAATAAGGTAAACTATAAAATGATTCATATGTACCACTCAATTGAATAAATAATTGTCTTCTACGAGTCAAACATTCAATTAATGTAAATTCACTTAAAAGATATATTAATGCTTCATCGGAGAGAATTTTTCGTCGTTCAATCCATATATATGATAAGCAAAGATGTGATAATAATGAATTTTTTGAAATATAATCGTGATTATTTAATGATTTATTATTTTTTATATCAATATTTGTTAGAAGTATATTTGAACGATTTTTATTATAACAATTCATTAAAAGATTAGAGATAAATACATGATTATCATTATTATTTATGAAAGATTTTCTTTGAAGAATTTCATTCCATTGACTAATTTGATATGTTGTCATTTTTTTCGTAAAATAAATTCCACGAAACTGATTTCTTGTAGTTGAATCAAGATTAGGTATTAATTGATGAAGTGATACCAATTCTGAATAATTAGTCTTTAAAATATTCATAATTACCCGCCAAAATCTAAAATACAAAAAAGAAAACGAATATAAACTGTATTTTTTTTGTATAATATTAATTCATCTATGATTTTAGCAGCAGCTGCATGTGCTGCCGCTGGAATCAGTTATATACTAAATGATGATGATGATGAACAAGTAACACATACAAAATATGAAACAGTTACTGTATCATCAACTATTATTGATAAACAAGGAATTGTTAAATGTATTCTCTATCCAAAACTAATAAATCCATATTTGTTTATTAATCACGAACAAAAAAGCACTATTACACTTATAAATAAATCGAAATGTAATGAATTTAAATTGCCTATAGATCCTCGTCAACAGATAAATAATTCAATTTTTAAACAAGAACTTTCTCTTATATTCTTTTGGTCAATACCATTAAAAGCTCGTTTATTACAAACATTCACAAAACCATGTTCAGTTACTGAAAATCGAAATCCTCTTAAACAAAATCTAATGCAAATTAATGTTGGAATTCAAAATGTAAGAAAAGGAGTACATTATCGATCCCATCATTTAACATGTCTATATAAAATTTATTTCAGAATATAAATCTCTCACATATTCCATCGGAAATCGCTGTATCCAATTATGATGAATATTCTTATCGAGTAAATCGACGAGAAACGGATGCAACATTCGATTCATTATCATGTAATCCAATGATAAATGATAATATTATTCCAATTGGTATACTTAAAAAAACGAATCAAGATAGATTTTGTAGTAATGAAATATTAGATTTAGATAGAGAGACTAAAATGAGAAATATGGTATTGAAAAATGTAAATTTATGTGTTGAAAATTTATCAAAAATTTTAAGTGAATCATGTTCAAATGATCAAGAACAATTAACGACATTAGAAAATGTTTCTTCAATTATTTCAACAACAAAAACTAATAAACAAAAATTATCAAGTATAGAAGATAGTTGCGAAAATATATATCCAAAATTATTCAAAGTAAGAATGAATGAATATCGATTCGATTTTTCAAAGCGGAGGATAAAAAGAGATGTCACATATATTCAGTATTCATTCATTTAGAAAAAGTATTCCATTATCTAATGAAATAATGTCATCTAAAGTATTGTGTTTTTAACTAATTAAAGAAATTAATATACCAGTACGACACTTCTTCTATAATTGAGGTTTTAAATTTAATATAATTATTGTCTTATGAAAACAGATGTAACTAGAAAAAGATTAAAATCTATATTATCCTTATTTGTTCATGTAAATCTAATAGAATTAAATACTTAAAAGATAGTTTAGTATAACCTATGAAAATATATTCTAAATCATTTAAAATTTCTAGCATGAAGAAAATCATGATACTACTCAATTTCAATCGAATAATCATCATAACGATATAGATTTTAATGAACGATTATCTGATGGTATAATTTTACAACGTGGTAAAGAATTTGGTATAGCATTAGGTGAACCAATGATACGAAAAAACGATGAGAATGAAAATTTTGATATAAATTCATCTCATTCAATTGATGAATTGAATAGATTACTAACGAAAACTAATTGTTTATTAATGGGACAATATCAAATTCGAACAATTGAAGATCTTATTCGATTATTTCTAGAACAAGGACAATATCATTTTACTGATTTGATGATAAATAGTTTTAAAGTCGATCCATTCATTGTTGAACAACTCAATATAATACTTTTAAAATGGGTAAAAACTTTGACTTGAGAGATTCTCTAGCGACCTCTCTCTATATATTTTTTCTATTGTAAATTTTATTAAGTAAATTAATAAAAACTTTCTATTATTTCGTTTTTCTTGTTCAATCTTAAAAATTCCTTTTTAATAATAAAGGAACGGTTGTCAAGGTTATCCATAGAGATATGGATAAGAATGGCAAACAAACATAGCATCCGCGCTCACTAAAAATCAGCTGCCATCAACATTATTATTTTTTTGTTTTAAAACATTGTTGTTGGGTATAGACGACAACATATTTTCATAATGAAAGGCTTTGAATCACTTTCTAAACCCTTAAAACCTCGATCAGAAGTTAACGTACATACAATACATCCAACACTTGAACAAAAACCACGTTCAAAATATAATGTACCAGATTGGTTTAATCATAAGTAAAAGAGATTTTATTTCTATGATTTGATTTGTTTATTTTATCTTTGTTAGTTATGCTATTTCACACGATGCAGAACGTAGTCGAAATGTATCACATCAAGTACGACAAGATGGTCGAAGATTAATCAATGAAACATATAATGAATCATGGTGGAATAAACATGATAAGTAAGTTTACAATTCATTTCTTGACAATAATTAAGATTTAACTTAGTGATGTACGTATTTCGGATCGTCTTGATGAAATTGATAAATGGCGTAAAACACTTGAATATACAATTCAAGATATTGATCGTGAAATTCAAGCTATTCAAACAACTAAACAACAATGCGAACGTTATTTAGAACATATGCGAAGTCCATTAGGTAAATAATTTATTAATACAAAAAAAACAAAAAAAGCTAAAATAAAAATTTTGTTTTTTTCTTTCAAGATGTTGCATTGGAAAATCATGTGACACGTGATGGACGTAAAGCAATTGATAATGTTGATGATGAAGCTGAACGTGAATTGAAAAAGGTAAGTAATTTCCTATTCAATAGAATATATTAATATACGATTAGAAAGCCAAACAGCTAAATGATTTGATTCATTTAATATAAGACATTGATTAATATTTTCATTATATTGAACATATTCAATTGATTCTTGATTAACAAATATAAGTCGTTGTTTTTTATAATCACATAATAACCAATCTAATGTACGTTCATAACCAGTTAAACATGTTATACAACCAACATCTTTTAAATCTATATGATAATATTCTTTATCAAGTAATGAATCATATATATATAAACAATAATCTTCATTTTGTTTCGATGAATAACGTCCATAACGTATAACTATACCAATATAATTTTCAAATGCATGTAAACCATGCATTGTACCATCATCAAATTCTAAATCACAAATATGTTTTAATTCAAATTGTGATAAACGTGATAAAACTGTTGATGTATATGTTGATGTATAGGAAAAATATCCATGATAAATTGATAATGAATTACATGCAAGATAACGTATTTGTTTATTATAATCAAGACTAAATGGAAAACCAGGCAAATGTATTTCATGAGTAACTTTACATTCTTTAAGATTATAAATATATAAATGTGTTGTTGATCCAACAAGTAATTCATTTTTAGATTGATTATAACACATTGCAATATAATTGATAGTTTTTGATTCAAAACATAATTTTTCTTCACATAAACCTGTTTCAATATTATAAATATCGATATGTGTTGAATTTGATAGAAGAAATTTATTTTGATTTAATTTTGATATCGGTTGACAATGATATTGACGATTACAAAGATTTATAATTTTTTGTGGATTATTTTGCCATAATGATAAATTAACTAGACTTGAACTTCGACGCGGATCAGTTTTTATTGATTTTGAAAGATCGAAAATAATGGGTGAACTTGGTAATGAACTTGTACGACGACGACGACCTTGATCAATGAATGTATACTTTGGTTCAAGTGTAAAACAAGTTACAAATCGTAAACGATTTTCTCTATTATTATCATCATCATCATCATCATCACTTGCTGCTAATTCAACATGATAAATTGATGATGTTGATAATAATTGTTTATGTTCTCTCATAAATTCTTCCATTGTTGTTGAAATACGTGGATGATTTTCAATATCATTAACTTCATTGAATAATAATGCAATAGTAGCACGATGAATAGGTGGTAATATAGTTGTACATTCAATTGAATTATATAATTCAAATGTATCATATTGTGTAAATTGTTCGGCATATGATAAACGATGTTTATTATCATATTCAATACTATTTCGTACGACGACTTTTGCTTCATCAAACGCTAATTTAATTCGTCCATCAATTGATGAAGATTTTAATAGAAGAAGTTCACGTCTTCGAGTTTCAGGAGTTGAACTATGTGTTCGAATACGTGGCATTAAGAAAACTTATGAAAGAAAAAAAGACTAACTAAAGCGAAAAACAAGTTACATATAACATTAATAACAACATTCTTTCTTGTGCGTAGGAAGTATACGTGATTGATGGTATCAAACGGCAACTTCATCAACAAGTCCAAACGGCTTTCGATCAAATTGCTCGTCTTACTGAAGCTAAACAACAATTAGTTCGAGTATGTTATAACTAAATTTTAAAATTATTTTTGTTGTATTTAATAAATTTAATTTAGGATTTACAAGATAAACATACGGCTTTTGCTATTTGCGAAGAAAATTTACAATTAAATGAATTTTCACCAAATATTAGTTATAAACCTGATCCATGTCGACCAATTAAAGGACAAATAACACCTGAAGAATGGCTTGCTTTTTCAAAATATAATAAAGATCGAGCAGAAAAAGAAAGTAAATTGAAACAAAATAAAATCAATGATTTTTTTTTAAAAATGTATATCCTTAGTGTATGAATCAACACGTCTTCGTGAGAATATCTTTCACACAATGGGTCAATCATCATCGGATCTTGAATCACAACAAAAAGCAAGTGAATATTCATTACGTAAACGTCTTCATGAACTTGAACGTGCTCTTACTGAACTTGAATGGCAAAAGAAACAAGTAATTTTTTTATTTACAAATTTATTATTATTTATGTTTTTTCGTATTATATTAGACTCAAGAAGAAATTCTTAGTAATGAAAGTGATATTGAACGTTTAGAAAAAGCTATTCGAGGTAAATATATATTCAATTCTATTAGATCTTATATGGAAACCATTTTTATTTAAGACAAAGAACCAATGATTAAATTAGCAATGACACGACAAGAAAATCGTCATAGTAGACCTGGAATGGATTTAGTTCGTGATGAAGTTTCATATGGAGTATATCTATATTTACATTTTTTTCGTATCATTTGTATTCCTTCCTTTGCCGATTTAGTTATGTGATGAAATTCAACAATTAAAAGCTGAAAAACGTGCCTTAGAAGATCAATTAAAACAAGCCAAGTAATAGATATGAAAAACACGAACTGAATTTCATCTTTTTTAATAATTATATTTAGACATGCATGGAATATTCTTCAACAACAATTACATAGAATTGAAGATGAAATCGCTGTTAAATCTAATTCAATTATGCTTGAAAAACGCGCATTAGAAACTCGTCGTCGTCTTAATACTGAAATAACACCTAATACACAAACTGATCGTAATCGACAATTACTTAATATGGATACAAGTGGCCTTCGTCCAGTTCTTGAATCTATTTATTAATAACACAAATAAAAGAAAATCAAAGACATATATTTTTTTTTCTTCTGATTCCATCTGTGCACGTGTGTGTGAATGCACTAATCCCATCATATACTTTAATATGTCAAAAAATAATTAAATAAATACAAAGAAAAAAGTTTTAATTAGTTTTCTTTATATATGAGATTGTTTCTTTGAATTGATATATATGAAATTGAGCAAGTGTTATCAAGAAATAAATACATGAACAAGCACTAATAAGAACAACCCATAAATCCGGATAACGTGATGGTGGTTTAACATAAATAGCAGCAATTAATAAAGGCAATGTTGTTGTTATACATAGTATTGACTAAAATATAAAAAAGTTTTTATAATATAAAATATGAGCTATGAACATACAAATAATAATTGTAATAATGATATATGATTGAAATGAATGTATAATCGTTGGAAAGCAAGAATTGAGAAACCAATGAATGTTATCCAAAAGATAAATACTAGATTATCTTTAATCATTAAAGGAAAAGCACTACAAAAAAAGATGTTAATCTTGTATATAGATCAAATGTGAATTCTTACCTAATCATAGCAAATTGTAGAAAAGTAAAAGATTCAACTGGATATGTTGCTGAAAGTAATATCACCGGTCTAGATTACAAATATTTATTTCTATTTGAAATAATTAATAGTAATACATACAAACATGATAGTAAAATTGTTTTTTCATGAACTTGAAATGAGAATAGATAAAAACAAAGTGAAACATTAAACTAAAATAAAAAAATGAATAAGATTAATTTTTTTAAAAATAAAATTTTACAAGACTAATATAAAAATTTCGAACAGTTGGTCGACGAAAAAGCATACAACATGATGGTAAAATACTCAATGAAGTTGTCAATAAACTAAAAAACGAAATAATGAAATAAAATAATCTAATAATTAATTCTTACCATAATTTAGCTAATGTTCCATGATCAAATCTTGTTCGAAGTTTAACAATTAAATTAAGTGTACACCAAAAATTAGCGACTTTATCCTATGAAAAATGAGTATTATGTTTTAATTTATTTGTAACTAATATTTTTACTTCATATAAACCTCGTTCAAATGGAAAAAGTCGTTTCATCACAGCCATTGGATCATGTTTTAATACAGGAAACCATATGATAAAAAATGTCAAAATAACAACGAAACCCAATGATAAAAATGTTTTCAATCTTAATGAAATCAAAAATGAATTTATTAAAAATAAAAAATATAATTTTACTTGAGTTTTCTTTGTTCAAAACAATATGCTGATAATAAATAGACAAATATCGGTACAGCATGATACAGTTCCATTTGTTTATAATTAAGTGATAATGTAAAGAAAATAGCGGAGAGTAAAATTGTTTTTTCTTTTGTAGCCATTACAAATGCAATTAATGCTAAACCAAGACTTACGGAATTAAATTGAAAATGACCATGATCAATTAAAATCAATAGAGGATAAAATAGATTAGTTAATAAAACAGTAAACTAAATCAGAATTAAGAAATTGAATGAATATATATATAGAAGAATGAAAATACGAACTTTTTTTGTGTCAACATTCTTATTAAGTAAATCAGAACGATAAGTATAGAAAACAGCTGGATAGTAAATAAGAAGATCAACAATAAATACTATCATAAAAATTTATATTCATTTGAATTTTGTAAAGTGTTTTCTTTCGAACGAACCGGTATAACGCATGAAGAGTTTATGAGCATCACTTTCATGTCCATGCGATTCTTTCAAAGCACACCATGTCGGATTGATTTTATTTGAACTATGAAATTAATAATTATTCTTGATTTCAACATAGAATGCATCGTGATAGGTTTTTATATAA